ATATATATATATATATATATATATATATATATATATATACATATATACATATACATATATATAGTGACGCAAGCATTTCCCTCCGGAGATCTTCGGCGTGGGCGGTGACACGGGGCGCACCGTCCATAGTTCGTGGACTGAAGACTGCGACATTTTTGTGTTTATTTCCTTAAATGGGAACTCGGAAACTCAAGATGAGATTTGAGTTTGCGTTGCTCCACATCCTTCCGAAGAACAGAAACGCAAATGCATATTGGAAAATCAAACAATAACATTTAATGAGTAATTGTAGTATACACGGGTGTATATTGCCCTTCTGACGTTTTGTTAGAACCAATGTCACACACTCGTCGAATCATCTTCATATGGAGAACGCATATGGGTTTTCTCTGCCTCATAAACAAGACAAACCCGAAGATAATGGTTTCTAAAATGTACAATAATTCCAAGTATAACTAATAACTATGTAATCCTGTATGTAACGTGACAAATACTGGATGTAACTTAACACTGGATATAGCGTGACAAATGTTTCCATGGTCTTTACATAACATGTAATCCATATTTAATCAATTATTATTTATACCTCTTGGCAATTTTTTTGTTTCACCACCAATAATTAGAATGGAAACCTTCAATACCTCTCCGTGCGATTCATTATGAAGGCATATATTTTTTTTAAATTCGTGATATTATTTTTGTTATAAGCTATGCATAAGCTTGCTTATGAATACTTCGACTTGCATCAAAATAAGAAAAAAATGTACTATTGTCTTTTGTTTCCCTCCATATTTCATACAGAGAATTGAATACAGAGAATTCATTCATAGACATGAAATCATAATCATCAGTCGACACTTGTTATGTTACAATTATTCTAATATTAATCTCCTATATTACCTTCTTTCTCATTTATTCAATAGGTGAAGCCCATTATTTTAGAATGACGTCGTACCGAAAAATAAGTCACGTGAAAAAGTATAAAGTCATGACTAATCATCAGGGAACCAACTTCACTTGATACCAGATAATTAACCGTTTCAGATAAATTAATTCAAAGATTCAACACAATGTTACACGATGCATCGTCCAAAATAATCAGACACATTAATTATAAAATACGTTAATAACTACACTCCATCACCACCATGAATTATGGGAAATAGCTTCATAACAAAAATCACACATGTATAGTGCGGTCTAATATGAGCTTTGAATCTCCAAACTGTATGGTTTTAATTTAAATATGTGTAATATTTAATTAATAATCACTGGCTCTTCACTCATCCACAAGTTACGTCCACATAAATATAATAAAGTTATATTTCTTTAATTTCTTCCCCCAGCACAATTCCCCCAATGCTAAACACTTTTCACTTATCAAAAGAAAAAGTAACTTCAAACTCTGATTTTACACAGATAAAATAATTTTATTTCTAAAAATTCTACTACCCTAGTATATATTGTAATAATGAAAGATATTACACACACACACACACAATTCGTATTCACAACGCTCGCCGTCTGTCACAGCTGCCGGGATTAAGATGCACACGCCGTGAGAGATACAAAGGGACTTAATTCCATAATGGTCAACTTTACACAAACAACTCATCAAATGTTTATTTTGAATCAACAAAAATAAACTCTCCAAACATCATTAATATCGCATATAATATCGTGAATATATTGACTGATCCTACGTATGAACGTTAATAACAATTCATAAAATTAAGCTGCAGCTAGTTGTTAGACGAAGACAGAAAATTTGGTATTCCCCTTGAACGCTGCGCCGCGCTCGGCGACCTTCTACTCTACTGAATGCTGGTAATTGGTTGCCGTGCGAAAACAATGAAGGCCCTATGCATTCTTGGGTATCGGGGATGAGCCGCGGCTAGCCACGGATGGCCAAAATGTATTGACTCCGGCCGCGGAAGCCTACGAACGCATGTAATGAAGGCCCTATTTTGAAGTATAGGGCCAAAGACTAAATGCAGTGAACGCAATAATAGAGCAAAGGGTTGTTTTTTTTATATATAAATGTATTTAATTGTTTGTTGATGTACAATGTTCAGTTTACAGTAAAAATGTTGCAATTGTTTGATGACTTAATCTAGGTTAAAATTGTACTTAATCTTAATCTAGGGAGAGGAAACAAAAAGCACCTCAGGAGA